GTTTTCAGAAGGTAGCATGGTATAAATACCGCCCCCCCTCCCCCCCACCGCCAGGTCTGGAGCAGTACTCTGTAATTAAAACATTAATAATTTCCATATCAAAACGTGAATGTTGACAGCAAACAGGGTGAAGTCTGCACAGCTTCATGTCTGTGTGGGGCGGTTCTTACTGCCAAGGGAGATAGGAGGGAACATTGGGTTTCAGAGCTTTGTGGATTTCAGAGTTGTGGAGGAAAGACTAGAGGCTGGGGGTTCACACTGAAGGTTAGTTCCCTTTTCCTTCCATCAGAAAGAGAGAAATTTTAAAGCCAAATGGAGAAACAAGGGGTTTTGACTAATTAACTTTTATTTAGGATCACGGGATTTTGGAGCTGTCAAACTCTAAGAGGTAGGACTCATTGAACACCAGCTCCTTTTTAAGTAGCTTTTCTTATTTAATTCCTTAACAATCCCAAGAGGCAAATATCGTTATTATCCCATTTTACAGGTGATGAAATTAAGGCTTGGAGAGGTTGAGTAACTAGCCTACGTCCCAAAGACGTGGAGCAGAATTTGAACTTAGGAAAAGAGAACTTCTAATACCATTTTATCGTTTACATCTGGGAAAGTGTGGCCCAGGGATGTTCGATGACATCACATAGCCGGCCAGGGCTAGGTTTTTATTTGATCCTTAGCATTTCTTGACTCTACATTCCACTTTGATTTTGTAACTAAGATAACTAAGATGTAACTAGTTGTGGTCAACTACCTGCAGAGAAGAGTAACAAGGTAAGATTGGTTAACCCTATTTTGAACTTTTAGGAGGTAGAGTGTTACATGTAAACCTGTGTGAGCGTAATAAAGATGGTCCCATGAGCAGACACGTGACCCAGGGAGGGACTGCCAGTCCTCTGGCGCGTGGGACATCATTGCAGGAAACCAGGTGTGTCTTCTGCATTGTGCGGCCCATCCTGGGAGAGAACACTGAGAAACGTGGCATATCTGGTGTTCTGAAGGGACTATGACACATCTATTACTGTTTTAGTTAATCTATTGCTGCTTCACAAATAACCACAGATTTAGGAGCTTAAAACAATTTACTGTTATGTCTTCTAGTTCTCTGGAATGACTGGGCTCAGCTGGGCGGTTCTTGCCTGGGGTTCCTCTTATAGTTGCAGTCATGTGACAGTAAGGTCCTGAGTCTTCTGTGGGCTTGACTGGGCTGCTGGACATTCAAGAAGGCTCATTCATGTGGCTGGCAGTTGACCTCTTTCCTTATTTTAGCTACTTTAATTATATGGTTCTACCATCTTTTTTTAACAAGTCTCTGTTGACGACGTGTAGGTCGTTTCCAGTCTTTTGCTATTACCAAATTTCAAAGCACATGACATGTGAAATGCACTATCACGTTTAGGAATTTATCCCACAAATATCCTTTCCTTTCTGGGAAGTGGAATAGTCTGGCAGAAGCTCGCTCCATCAGCCATGGTCCTTTGCCGGTTAATTCACCTGACATCTTCTTTCAGCAAGCCTCTCTTACGGCTTCAGATATAAGCTGCTAACGTCTAGGGGCTGGATTGGTCATAGACGTATATAGGTGGCAAGCAGCACTTCATGGACTGGAGGGTGCACTTTAGGAGAATTCCCTGAATGAATCAGTTTGTGCTGGCTCAGTTTTCCATGCTGGGAAATGGGAGTGTACATAAAGGTGGAGAAATGGAAAAATTGCCTTTGCTGAGGCACAGTTGGAGAACTTCTGTTTTTGCTCTAAGGAAGCAACAGGCACCTTCCCCCTGGAAACGTGGTGCTCTAAGTCTCCAATTCCTTCCCCCACTCTAATTTTCTCCCCTGTGTTAAAAAGCTTTCTGTATCTTGATCGGATGATCCATGGCCCTGTACTCCCTTAAATTGTCACTAATCTCCCTTCCCTCTGCCCTTCAAGATTTTATTCTTTTCAAACAAAATAATGCCAGTGATTTGAGATTTTCATCCTGGATTGTAATAGATCGAAGGTATCCATATTACATGCAGAACATTTTAAAAATAGGAATTTGCCAAAAGGATTAAAGTAAAGAAGATTTCGGGTATGACCTATAGTTGGCAAGTCCTTGGCACATTCTGCAGGACTTTCCTTTTCTTTTTCTTTTTTGCTGGGGAAGATTCACCCTGAGCTAACATCTGTTGCCAATCTTCCTCTTCTTTTTTTTCCTCCCCAAGCCTCAGTACATGGTTGTATATTAGTTGTAGGTCCTTCTAGTTCTTCTATGTGAGCCGCTGCCACAGCATGGCCACTGACAGATGAGTGGTTTGGTTCTGTAACCAGGACTGCACTCGGGCCACCGAAGTGGTGAGATCACCAAACTTTTAACCACTAGGCCATCAGGGCTGGATCTCTGCAGGACTTTCAAAAGACAGTTCTAGCTTTCTACACAATTTTGATTGGAATTACCAGGGTCGTTTGTCTATGTTGTATTTTGTTAGTCCCTCACTACCTCTCAGATGACCTTTATCCTGTGTAGACTTGGCCTTGAGAAACTCAAAGAATTCAGTTTGCCAATACTTGGGCCATATTTAGTCTTTTCACATCCCTTCAAGGGAGGCAATGGCCAGAATGGGAACTGCTGGACAAGGAGGAGACCATGACCTGTCCTGATGGTAGGAATAGGAAAGCCTTCGGCACAGCTGAGTCTCCCTCTGCATGAGTGCCAGTCCCTAGCCTTTTTGCGGGACACAGGGCAGAGGTGGGGTCTGAGGTAGTCGGGGACCCAGGACGGCCACCCAATTGGGTCATCAAACTCACCCCCTGCGGATGTCCTCCTGTATCTTCCGACAGCCCCCCCTTGCCCTCTGAATAGAGTTGAGCTACTTTAGGGCCCCCAAGGTCGAGCCTTTCTCTGCTACCACAGCTCTGCTCATTAACTGCTTTCCTGGGGCTCAGGCTGGCCATGCGGGACCACGCACAATTCCTCCATTTCCCGCCACCCTCTCCTGGAATATTCTTTGCTTTCCCCATCTCTTCCTCCTCGTCTGTGCCTGGCTGAGGAGCTCACTTCCTCTGGAAGCACCTTCCCTCACACTCCACGTCTGGGGTAGGCGCCCCTCTGAGGTGCCCATTGCACCCGGGGCTCCCCAGAGGTCAGTGGCCTGTTGACTGCTCTGCTCCCCCACTAGACTGGCAGCTTCTTGGGGGCAAGCAGTCCTTGTACCTCCTCCAGCTCTGGGCACAGGGCTTCTTCCAGATCAGGCTCACATCAGTGTCAGCTGAGGCTAATCAAGCTCCAAGCAGATGAGACTGAACCGGTGGAGGACGCTGACTGGAAAACTCTGTTCTGGGGTCTTGCGGCTCCCTCGAGTCTTTCTGCATCCTGCCACCTGTGTTCCACTGCCCAACAACACTTTGAGACAGTGCAGTGGCCTGAGTGTGGGCTTGGGGCCTGGGGGCAGGAATGTGCACAAGCACTTCCACAGGGCATTTAGTTGAGAAAACTAGATGAACTCTGAGAAAGCATTTGTGTGTAATGAAACCCTCTGGAATGAGATGGAGTAAAGTACTGAGCTGTGTGAGGGCCACTGCTCCGCGTCACATCTCAAGGGTGGTCCATGGACCGCCTCAGTGGTGTCTCCCAGGCGCTGGTTAGAAATGCAGCATCTAGACCCCACCTGACTTTCTGAGTCAGAACCTGCATTTAACAAGACCCCCAGGGGCTTCGTGTGCACACTGGGGTTTGAGAGGCGCTGGTCTGGGGGTGCAGAGAACGGTTGAGCTGGCCTCAGTGGAGGGCAGTACCAGGGTGGATGAGAGGCGGAGGGTATTTGAGGCTAGGATGGTGTTGAGCCAGGAGAGGACCAGCTCTTCTGGCTAATTATATTTCTCTGAAAATGTTTTTTAGGACCTTTTCTGAATAGAATTTTGGCAGAGCAAGTGGATCAATCTTCTGAAAGGTCTGATTTGGTAACTAGGAAACCTTTGAGGACTGTATCAGCTCTGGTGTTTTTCCATCACATAGTTAGAGACTCCATTGTCTCCCTTAGAGGCGGTGTTGGAAGAACACTGGTCCAGGAGGCCAGAGCCTGTGATTCGGTTATGGTTTTGCTGATAATGAAGCTGTGGGATCCTGACCAAGTCACTTTCCAAAATGATCATTTTATTTGTTCACGATTTTGTGGGTCAGGAACTAGGGCACGGCTGGGCTAGGTGGTTCTCCTCTGGCAGCGTTGGCTAGGTCACTCACTCAGCTGGTGGCCCCCATGGGCTGGGATGGAAGATCCGCTGAGGCGTTATTCATATCTGGCACCTCAATGCTCCACCGTGTGGCCTCTCTCTCCCTCCACCTGGCTGCTTGAGCTTCCTTACAGCATGGTGGTCTTGGACTTCTTATGTGGCAGCTGGTTTCCAAGAGGGAGGACGTGGAAGCTGCAAGGTCTCCTAAAGATCTGGAATTGATGCAAGCCCTGCCCAAATCCAAGGGGAGAGGAAATGGTCTTCATCTCCTGATGGATGGAGCAATATGCAGGCACAGGGAGGAAGGAATTGATTGTGGCTGTCTTTGGGGACTCTGTGTGATAGGCTCCATGACATCAACAGGACCTAGACTCCTCCTTTCTTTCTGCTCTTCCATTCTCAGCACTGGCTTCCCTCTCACAGAGCTGTTGAGCTCTAGCCAGCAGGAGGGAGTAAAGGAGGAAGAGGGCACCATCCTTCCCCCTTAGAGAGGGTGTATTGCATCAGCCAAGTAGTCCCATGGCTGTGACTTGCTGTAAGGCTGGGAAAGAGAGATGTTTAGCTGGGGCCGTGTGCCCAGCAAGAAATCAGAGGTCTGTTCTAAGGAGGAAGGGGAGAATGACTGTAGGAAGGAGCTGCCAGTTGTTTCACCTTCCCCAAAACCAAAACCTGCTACAAAATTTTAGGGGCAGAAGCTGCCACCAGGCCAAGCGTAGAGACCCAGGGAGGTGCCCTCCTGGAGTAAGCGCACTGGACACGCCCACCTGCACTGGGTCCTCACGGCCTCTCTCTGTCCCAGTTCACCACAGGCACGTGCAGCGACTCGGCGGTTCACAGCTGTGACCTGTGCGGCAAGGGCTTCCGCCTGCAGCGCATGCTCAACCGGCACCTCAAGTGCCACAACCAGGTGAAGAGGCACCTGTGCACCTTCTGCGGCAAGGGCTTCAACGACACCTTCGACCTGAAGAGGCACGTCCGCACGCATACAGGTGAGGAAGGGGGCATGTGCTTCGATTTTGGTTTTGTTTTTCTGGCCAAGAGTTCTGTTCATTTCCCACCAAAGAAACAAGTCAAGAGCATGGAGCAGTGTTATATTTCTGGAAAGATCACAGGATGGGGCATTTGGGGCCAGACTGGGTTTACCTCCTTGCTCTGCCACCTGCCGACTGTGTCACCTTGGGCCAGGCAAGCCCCGTCTCTTAGCCTGTTTTCGCCCCTGTGAGATGGGGATAATGATGCACATTCTAGTACAGCTCAAGAGAAATCTGGCTGCAAGTCTCCTGAGAATGGATGCCTGACACAGTGCTGCGGGAGATCATGTTCAGCCCTCGGTCCCGGCTGACTGCTGGAATGTGGTTCCTGTGGTCCCACTGGTGGTGTTTTAAGCTCATTTCTTGGGAAGTAAGCCTGTCTCAGAATAGCATCATGTTCCTCCGGAGAGCTCAAAAAGGGACGAAGATGCTCAGCTCACTTAGAGCTCACCGAGCCTCCTACTTGAGGGTGGCAGGCAAGTGTCTTCATCCGTTGGGCCTTCCTCAGTTTCCCTCCTTATGAAGGGTACATCTGGGTCCTCACCAGCTCATTTCACACAGACTCCTGGGGGTGCCCACTGACCTCTCTTCCAGCTCTTCTGATTGGTTCCGGCCTCATTAGTTTTATCTTAGAAACATCTGTCCTCTAGGCTTTTTGAGGTCCACAGTCCACTCCTTTGCCAGAGAGATCCCTCGAGGAGAATTCTAAGGATGCCACTGCCCTGCTAAAAAAGCTCCCCCAACTCTGGGCAGGGTGAAATCCAGACTCCCCAACCTGATGGGCTTCATGTAAGTTCCTCACAATCTGGGTCCCGTCTTCACCTCCCCCTCCCATCCCATCCCATCCTGTCTCTTTACATCTCACCACATTTCATCTCATTTAAATCCATCCCATCCTAACCATTTAACCCCATCCTGGTCGCCACCCACTCTTCTGACTGCCTCATAGAATATACTATATATGCTCTCCCTGATCCCTGAAGCCCTTCCAGGGTTTAGGGTTTCCCCTGGCATTTTGGTGGGGATGGCAAGATGTCCACTCCTCCCTCCAGATGGGGCTCCCAGCCCCTCATGCCCCACACAGGGCCCTCCTCAGAGCCTCTGTATTCAGATTTCTTTTATGGCCCTTATCACACTTTTTTGTTCTTAGAATCTTGGGCATGATGCCTTCCTGGGCTGCGAGGCATCCTCCTTAGAGTGGGCTGGCACACTAAAAGGTTTCTTTTCTTTTTTGCTTTTTAAAAACTTTTTCTGAAGGGAGTTTTTCATTTAAATGTAACATACATCCAGAAAAGCACACAAGACATAAATGCATAGTTCAACAAATTTAGAAATTCTTACAAAGTGAACACACCCGCATAGCTAGCACCCAGACCAAGGAACAGACTATTTCCAGCCCCTAGAAGTCACTGCCCCCTCCCTGTCACTAACTCCTTCCCTCCAAGAGGAGCCACCATCTTGACTTCTAACGGCATAAATTCCTGTTGCCTGGTTTTAAACGTGGTTGAAATGGAATCCTATGGTGTGTACTCTTTTGGTCTGGCTATGTGGCTTTTTTAGTCCATAGCACCAGTGAATCAGTCAAAGGTTAAGCTCTGTGTGGCCAGGCTGGCACCTTAGGTTGGGGTGGGGAGAATGCTTAGGGAGTGGCAGAGTGGGGGAGGGTCCTGGGGAATGGTGGGGGGTCCTGTAGCTGGGGGAGGGTCCTAAGGCTCATAGACAACTGACCCAAGGGGCTGGGGGAAATTGGGGACCACTTCTTCAGTCATTTGTTGTTGGTTGTCTTGGAGAGTTTCTCAGCTTTTCATCTCGATCTGAGGATGTCCCTTGCCTGGTAGGCTCTGTGGTCACTTCCTCACCCTGGCCTTTAAGAGTACAGGGGGATCAGGGAGCATTGCTGGCTCTTGGTACCTTCAGTTGAGTAAACACTGAGCTGCTGGAGCTGCCTCGTCTGTGACTGAGTTAATTCTCCATTGACGGAGAGGGAGTGTTAGGGACTGACTTCTTCTCGGGGAAGAGTGTGCAGGTTGAGTCGGTGGTGTAGTAGTTAAGAACTCTGATCTGAGTTAGCTGACTGTGTAAGCAGTGTATCTGGGATGTGATCCCAGGAGGTAGGGGGAGGCGAGAAAGAGAGAGAAGACGCCAGTGAGAGCGAGCTACTGAGTGGCTTACCACTGTGGGCAACTGGGCTCAACCCCACTGGGGTCCCTCTGAAGAAAGATATAGAATGCAGCCTAGAATTGCTCAACTCCCATCTTTCCTTGCTTGGGGGTCCATCCTGGGACCCTCAACTCCTCAGCAAACCCCCCAGCCCCATTTAGGCCCATCCTATTTGCTGGGGAACCTTTTCCGGGCAGGAGAGGCAGGAAGCTGCTGGCCATACGGGAACTCTCTGAGAGGACCTGGTGGTGGGCTGAGGGGTTTGGGGCCGGGGCTTGATGGTGTTGGCCCCAGAGAGGAAGAGGGTTAGCAAGTGAGGGCGTGGCTCACAGAGAATGGGAGGCCCTTCAGAGAGTTAACGCATCCTCTTCAGACGGCAGCAAGCTACAACTGGTCATTGTCCTCCATGCCAGGCCCATGGCATTTATTCTGTTATCTCAGGCAAGCCCGAGGAGTCGGTGCTGGTATTACCCCCGTTTAACAGAGGAGGCGGCCCAGCTCCAGAGGTCAGACAACCGAAGGTGGGGGAGCTGGGAACTACGATTGACTGCTCCTGCAGCTCGAAATCTTCTCTTTTCTCTAGAGCCCCCTTCTCTGCCCCCTTTGCCTCCTATTGCCTCCTCAGCATTCTCCCTGAGGCTGGGGCCTCGCCAGCCTGCCCCCCTTCAGTTTCTAGAAGCCTGCTTGCTCTGCAAGGTGAGATAAAGGGAAACTCAGGCCTGGCGCAAACCACACACTCCACCCTGGGGTTTAGCAGGTTGTGGAGGAACCTGAATGTGTGTGTTCAGTGGGGCCAAGGTGGCCTCTCACCACAGAGTGAGCAAGAAAGGGGCTGGCCTGCACACCCCCCCACCGCCCCCGACCCCTGCACTCCTCCATCTCCTGCTTCTCAAAGGTCACACTTAGAGCGACTCTTATAGGAGGGGCTGAAAATCACTGTAGTTGTGAATAAGAATGCCTTCCACCTGCGCTTGCCCAGAGTTCCCTCTGTCCGGTGGGGAGGCTCACGCTCAGGAGGCGTCGGGGGAAGCCTGCGCCACTCGGGCTGCGTGGGGCTGCCGAGCCCCCGCCATGGGGCAGGTCTGATTGAGGTGTGTTGTAAGTCCAAAACAGACACTGGATTTTGAAAACTTAATGCAAAAAAAGAATAGAAAATATCTTAATTTTTAATGTTGATTTCATGTTGAAATATTAATATTTTGAATATATTGGGTTAAAAAAACCGTTAAAATTAATTTCACCTGTTTCTTTTTACTTATTTTAATGAGGCTACGAGACATTTTTACATTACAAAATGACTTGTATTTTCATTTCTATTGGACAGCACTGACTGAGATTGTTGAATCTGCAGATAACCATTTAAAATTTTTCTAATCATAATTTTGACTCCTAAAGTGATCAACAGAATTATGGAGATGTCTTGAGCCTGCTTTCCCTGCCCTGGCTATTTCCTGATGGAGACGTGCCTCCAGGAAATAATGAGCCGGGAAGAGGAGCGCAGGGCTCACTGACCCATTGGCTGCTTGCAAACTTCAGAAGGAGCCCCAGCCCTGGGCACACTGCCAGGAGGCTCAGGAGCAGGCCTGGCCGCATGGCGTGAGAGGCCCCCCTCCATCTCTTGAGCTCTGTGCAAAAGGGGTAATCAGCAAAAAGAGCAAAAATGGGGGTTCTCAGACATTTGTTAAGTTCTTGTGAACAACATCACTGGCTCCAAAAGATCTCACTAGAATTCTGCAAATTCAGTCTTGCCTTTGATTGAGACGTGAGTGTTGGATTTTTGCCATTGACTATTACAAGTAAATGTTGTATTTATACCAGAAGCAAAGGTATGACACTGTTCACACAAATCCAGTAGCCAGTGAATGAAGGTATGTTTGCTTACAGTCCGATTAGACCAGGCCATGACCAATTTAAAGACTCATCTGGGACCTCAGGACCCTTCTTCTGAGAGTTGTAGCCACAGTATTGATGAGGTGGGCGAGGACAGTGTCTGAGAAAATTGGGATTAATCCCTTGCCCCATATCTCCTCCTGTCCTCTGCAACCTCTGAGAGAACAGGGCGTCTAAGGAAAGACTCAAAACACAAGAAAACATCTTGGAAAAGGTCCAGGGAAACGAGAGCCTGAAAATGTCTGACCGTAATATCCAAGCAGATGAAAGAAAAGATTAAGATGTCTTCTTTGGATATGACTTCGCCAAGAAAAGAGTAAATCCGAGGTGTGTGTGAGATGGGGAAGGAGAATGCTAGTCAAATGACATCTGGTTCAAGATTAGAAGAGAGAAACTGGTGCAGAAAAACTCCTTAACACTTTGGGAAAATATATCAGCAAACAAGTGGCTATTTTCAATCCAAATTGTATTAGGTCAGGTTCCCTAGAAGCACATTCTGAGATGGTGATTCTTACAAAATGATTTATTGAGGGAGAGCGCTCAGGAGAAACCTGTAAGGGTGGCAGGGAGCCCGACAGGGTAGAGGAAGGAGCTGACCAGGGATGTGGCCTCGGCTGGAGTCTGGCCCCAGCCTGATCCCACAGGGGCTCTGAAGTGTGAATGGCACCACTGCGTTGTCCTGTCCACAGGCAAGTGGGGGACACTTCTATGCCCATGTCACTCAGACATTGGCTAAGGGCTGCCTCTCTCCTGGGCAGGGAGGTCAATTGCCCAGTGCCCATTCCTTGGAGAAGGGGACAGCTGGGAGCTGTTAGTTGCCAACACACATGCCAGCTGGGGAACGAAGCACTGGCCCAGAATAGGGGGGATCTGGATGAGGGACTGACAGCATCCACTACACACATAAT